CCCTCCCCCCTCTAATAGTCACCATTTTCATTGGCTACCCCGCTATCTCCCTTTCGCTTTTATATGTTTCTTCATTCACTCTCTCTCTCTCTCTTTCATGTTTTCACGAATTTATTCGATACACCCTCGACGTCCCGCAGTCGGACACGTTCTACGACTATTAATCTAATGGAGCTATTTCACGGGCGAATCTCCAAAGGCGTCAACCCCACAATGGGAATAATGATGTCAAACAAACGGCTACGGGACCGTTTCAACCCTTACGCTGGGCATCTGTGCCATGTCCTACCTACCCCGTCTCCACGTGGTACCCTGCCCTGCCTCCAGTCTACGGATCATTTTTTTTTTTTTCTTCACTACTAGGGGATGAATCGTTTTAACACGCCTACGTGGGGGTTGAACATACAGACGCATTCAAATCGCGGCTCAAACCTCAGATATAATATTCGAGCAAGCCGCTTCTCATTGTGGCACGTGCCATTGTGTTGTCTCCTACCCCCCAGGCTGGTTAGTTGCTCACACCTTTTTTTTTTATTATATATGTATATATATATATATATATATATATATATATATATTTGATTCACGTTAGTACGATAGTGCATGGACTTGGTGTGACCTACAGGAGATTTTTCGAATTTGACAAAATGGTAATGGAAATTGAAATTCTCACGCGACTTTACTATCTGACCAATTTTTTTGTTTGCGAATGTATTTTGGATGCTGAGCTGGACCGGTTCGAAGAGACCTGTAGAAGAGTAAAAAAAATGTTTGGAATTGTGAAAATAATTTCTTTTTTTTCCATGTTTCGGTTTACCTCGGTCTCACCCGCTGAGCAATACGCAGTTAACGTGAATTATGGTTTTCGATTTACAGCAACGTGCCAATGCTTCTTTTTTCTGCACGTCATTTTTACCCTTAACGGCTCTATTAGGGCTTCGATAATTTATGACTTACATTGTCGATTAACACGCGCCCGACCGGGACTCGGAGAGCGAGAGAGTAACGGGGAATATAAAAAAAAATACCACCCAGCAAAAAAAGGGGTACCTTACAAAAGGGCACGCGACGCTCTTTCGGGGTTTTACTCCTGGGGGTGCTACAGGACCGATCGCTTCTCAAATCCCAACCCTATCTGATTCATCGTATCGGCCTAATGACGCGTCCGTGTTTGACATTCGGCTCGATGTTCTTTTCGATCTGGCTTGTAAGATAGGAAATATTCACCCTCTGTGGGAGACTGGTGCTGCCACCCCGTCGCCTGGGAAAAAAAAAACAGTCGATACGCGAGCAAAATTTCGGATGATTTTTCAAAAATTTTTTATCAAATTTTTCATTTTATATTATATATATATATATATATGTATATGTATGGTATCAGTGAAATATACATGACGAATCAGACCTACAGTGATGCAATATTTTTATAAGGGTAGGTATCAACACTTTAAAAAAATTCTTTTATACGTTTCTGTTACACCCACCTTACCCCTCTCGACTTTACCATAAAGACATTGATTTCGGTTACTTTTTCCCATGCCGACTACCAACTGACTTGACTGCTGGGGGTTGACGCCGGTGTATCCCACCTGTTGACTTTCCGCAACGTGACTCTGCAGGGGTTCCTCTCTCTTCCTCCCTCTCCTATCGAGTCATCAAACTCTGCAGAGAATATTTTTCGCTCTTTAGGGATGATACGCGCGCAGTCGTTAAGCGGTAACGTGAGAACTGCTGTCACGTGTAATTATTAAGATATTCGACCTCGCATCCCTTACTGCAATCCCGAAGGATACATATATGACAACCCTTATTTTTCTTGCGGTGGCTATTCTTGCTTTAAAAAACAAAAAACGAACTTTTCAACACTCGTAATTCCGGTCTCTCACCGCATCCTCATTGTCTAAATTCACGGCGTGCCGCTTCAAATTAGTTGTGGATAGAGGAGCGATTAACGTTGTATCGTTGGGGGCGGCAGTTGTACCGGGGTTATAGTCTGTAACATAGGGGTTGGTTGGTTCCCATGAAGGTCCGTTGGGGGGCCAATCGTCAAGCCATATGGCTCGACAAGTGTAGCAGGAGATTTAAATAACCGTTGGGAGGTCAGCACAGCTTAACATTGACTAGCACTTATCACATAGTGGTTTAGCCTATGACACTAGGGAAAAAAAGGTACAATTTTATAAACTTTACTTAAGTTTGTATTGTAAAAAAAATTTTTTTGCTTTTTCCAAAAAAAAAGGAAAAAATTTCAAACACGATTTTTTAAGTTGACGGAGATTTTCTTTTCGAACGTTTTTTTTTTATGTGAAAATTTTATTTTTTTACTTTACCGGGAAACAATTTTTTTATCCGCTACTCAAAATTACGTGACTGTTATTGGGTAACAAGTGGAGGGGTAGTTCAGTTTGGAAATCCAAATAGGGCATCAATTTAACGTTTCTCGACTTCCTGATTTGACTTACCTGCTGTCGTGACATTTGGAACCTCGCAGGGGTTACGGACCGCACTCGCTTATGATTGGCTGTTGGCCTCCGCTGCTCACCAATGGGATCCCGTTTCGCTCACCCTGTCTGTATTTATGTAATAGGACAGTACGCGGCGCGCAAACTAGAGCATCATTGTGTCTATTGTCTCTTCGCCGTGGAGTTGTGTATCGGATCGCGATTTATCAGACTCTTCGTCGAGGTTTTGCGGTTCCTTCGCGCTGCATTGATTTCAAGCTCGGACTTACTGTGGTTACAAATTCAAAATCCTAATGTAATTGTGATAACCCAATGTTTCAAGGATTTTTGGTAAATTTTTTTATTAAAAATTTTTTATATGCACTGTTTTTTAATATTTTTTTTGAGTCTCATTCAAGTTATTTCGAATTTAATCCTTATTGATATTACGTAACGATTCTGTACGAGCATGTTATCATTTTCTTTTAATAATTCAAGGATGTGTTCTACGATTGTATTCTGTGCTAACTGTCACGCTATTACGTGGATATCCACTTGTCGTTCCCAATCACGTGATCTTTTGAGATTACCAGGGGAAGTTGGATATTGAAAAAAATAAAATCTGTCAAATCAAAAAAAAAAGTAGGATACATGTCTTAGATTTTTGATTATACCCTAAATAAAATTACACGAGACCCTGATATCAGTCCATATTAAATATACGTAATCGATTGTAATTTCAGCTTCCCAGCACAGTGGCACCGTAGACGAGGATCGCGAGGAGGAGGAAGAGGGTGAAATCAGGTGTACCGTCTGTGACAAACCCTTCCTGGACATAGAGCTGTGAGTAAGATTTTAATTTAAAAAAAAAAAAAAGTCAAATTTTTTCATAATTTTACAAAAAACCAATATTCTAATTTCACATGTATTCGTATCTCGGTACGATCATCCCTGGGAATCCGAGGATAGTCGCCGCCATTAAAGATTCATTCGGTTGCACAATACGTTTGAAAATCAGATCGTCGAGAAATTACGTGTCCCCATCACGATATTATATATATATATATATATAACCAATTTTTTAAATCGAATTAAAAAAAATTGCTCTTATAAAAATATTTTCTTTTAATTCACATTACTATTACTATTAAATCTGGTTATTCCCAATGCCGCTTTTACCCATGCACCATGGGTATCTACGATATGGGAAAAGCAAAGCTGCCATAAGGAGTGCGCGTGCGAGATGAAAAGTCATAAATAAAAAGTCGAAATTGAAAGCGTCAATTATTAATTAACCGTCCGAATTCAAGGGTCTATACGTTATCCACTTGAAATCTGAATGAAAAGTACGCAACCGATCACGCAACCTTTTTAGCCTTTATAACGCAACGCGTGCTACCCCTAACTCCACAAGGGACAGCACGCGTGCTCCATATACACAGCGAGGGGGTTGACACGTAAAGTCAAACGTTTCCCATCGATCCACCATAAGGACTTTTCACAAATCTTATTTTCTCAACCGCCAAGAATTTGTTATTTACGGAAAAAAATTTTTTTCTTTTTTTTCAAACTTGAAAATCAACCCCTGATTAGTTAACACTAATATACCTACAATCGTCCTATTATTCACACCCATCACTTATCTCTCTTACGTATCCTTTCTGACACTTTAATTTGGTAACTTATCTACCCACTGATCAATCACAAAGTTTTTTCCAATTATTCGTCCGCGTGAAGTTGGCGGCTCAATATTTTTTTCTATACTTTGCGAATATATACATACTATACATACAGAACCACGCGTCATTGGCGTCGTGATTGTAGGTTGACATGATAGACGACATTCGCTCCCCTGATCGTACTTTCCTCTCTCTCTTTCTCTCTTGGGTGAGAACCAAACAAGTGTCTGAACCTCGCGAGAATGAGTTTCGCCATCATATTGCCTTTATAGATTTTATCATTATGTATAATGGCCACTGTTTGTTTATTCTTCATGAAGCGTATCGATGCATTATTCACCCCGGACTTCCCTTTTCTTCGGAGACGTGTCAACCACCCCCGTCCGTCAACTTGCCAATTAGATACTTTCTTCGTGAGAATCGGACCACCCTATATATACATATTATAATATATATTCAAACGATGGTATCAATAATACAAATATACATACATATATATTTTGTAATCTTTACCTGAACACTCGATTTTTTCACAATTCGAGTGTCACAAAATTTAATAACCGCCTTACCTCTGCCCACGTTATGAAAGTCCGATCGATTGGTCCTGTCGTTATTAAAAAAGAATGTCGTTGGACAAGTATTGCGTAAAAATGTGAAGGAGGTCCCGCATTCGGGATATTAACGTCCCAGTATATCATCAGCGTCGCGTGCTCACAGCTCATCTGGCAGGGAACACCGTCACCACAGAGGTACTATCTCACCACGAATAGGTTTCACACGACACGTTTGGGGGTGCAAAATCAATGCCCCAACACCATGAAACCCCCATGGCCGTAGCGTGTTGAACGTCTACGTTATGGTGTGTAGCTGGGACACGTAGTCGTGTAGGGGTTGGTTTAGAGAGGGGGTGTTACAGTACGTGGGACGGTTATTATTACACGCTACTGAGTGGCTGTTCACTTAGTCACCATCCTCGACTTGGAATAGACTCCTGGTTGGCCCGATGGGGGAGGGTCCTGGGTGGAACGAAGGAACCCGCATGATCTGACACATCCGTTCTTCGTCAACTGTTGCAGACTCGACGGTCATCTGGTGACGTGTCATCGATATCCGGCCGAGCAGCATCTTTGCGAGAGCTGCCCGAGGGGATACGCCTGGCGGCCATTGCTGGTACGTCATCGGGCGATAGTTCACGGGGATCTGCGAAAGTATCCGTGCGAGAATTGTCCGAAGGTAAGTAGTTCGCCCCGCGACCGACAGGGCGGCGACACTGGTCCTTAAGACTCGGCGACACATTCTGAAAGTATCGTTCATAGTCAATTTTGTCAACACAGGTCTTCACGGACCCGTCGAATCTTCAGCGGCACATAAGGACGAACCACGTGGGGGCCAGGAGCCACGCCTGCACCGAGTGCGGCAAGACGTTCGCTACCAGTTCCGGTTTGAAGCAGCACACGCATATACACAGTAGCGTCAAGCCGTTTCAGTGCGAAGTATGCTCTAAGGCGTATACGCAATTCTCGAATCTATGCAGGCACAAGCGCATGCACGCGACCTGCCGTCTGCAGATTGAGTGCGTCAAATGTCGGCAGTCCTTTAACACGGTAACCTCCTTGGCGAAGCACAAAAGATTCTGCGACTCGACCGCACCCACCGGACCACCCGGTACCATGACCCAGCTGCCGAGCTCAGCGCCAAATCCGTTTCTGGTCTATCCGCGACCACCGGTCACGCTACCAGGCGCACTTCCGTTTTACCCGCCGAGTCTCATGGGTCCCTATCCCGGGATCTTTCCGAACGCACCGAACTTCCTGAACTCGTCGCTGCTGTTTCCGCCCAAGGTCGAGCAGGCTGACAAGAGATACGACAGTCCCAAGAAGGAACGGTTCACGCCGCCCAGGATACTGCCGCAGCATAGCAAGGTGTCGCCCAGCACGGGGGAGGAAGCCACGTCGAACTTCCGGCCGTCGCCGGCCAGACCGCCTGTACAACCCACGCCGGAGAGCGACGAGGATCTCGTAAAGAGGAAGGAGACGAGTAAGCCGATGGACAAGAGGATGGAGACGGAGGCGTCGGAGGAGTCGACGGATCAGCCTCTGGATCTGAGGGTGCAGACGAAACGGAGGGATCAGCCGGAAGGTGTGTCGGAGAGCGCGGCGTCTTCGCCGGCCCCGGTGGTCGAGGAAGCGCCGCCACCTCCGGAACGAGCAAAACCGGAAGAGGAGGAGATGGAGGTGGAGGTGAAGGAGGTGGTCCCTAGCTCACCCGTAAGAAGCGTGGCTGATCATCAGCCTACGAACACTCCACCTCACATGGCCTATCCACGACCCATACACCCCATGTTCCTAGAAGCAATGTACCGATCGCCTGCCGGAAGCTTCCCGGGTTTCCACGGCGGTCCACCGCCTCCAGGCGGGGGTCCGGAGTCTCGTCTTCTGCCGCCGTTACCACCCTTCGGACCGCCACGTGGACTTCCTTTTTTAGGGACGCTCATGAACGGGCTGAGCGGCACTAGACCAGGCTTCGACCTCCTGGCCAGGCCGCCGCTCAGCGCGTTCCCTGGGGTCAAGCCCTTCCAGGACGTCATCTCCCATCATCATCATCATCACCATCACGCACACGGGAAGATGAAGGACCGCTACTCGTGCAAGTTCTGCGGCAAGGTCTTTCCACGTTCGGCCAACCTGACCCGCCACCTCAGGACGCACACCGGCGAGCAACCTTACAAGTGCAAGTACTGCGAGAGGTCCTTCAGCATCTCCTCCAACCTTCAGCGTCACGTCAGGAACATCCACGACAAGCAGCGTCCCTTCAAGTGTCCCCTGTGCGAGCGCTGCTTCGGCCAGCAGACCAATCTCGACCGTCACCTCAAGAAGCACGAGGCCGACGACGGAAGTGGCGTCGTTTCCGTAGCCGATTCGCCAGGTAGCAGTAACGAGAACGAGCGCGAGGATACCTACTTCGATGAGATCAGATCCTTCATGGGGAAGGTCACCTACGGTGGTGAAGGTTATGGGTTACCGCATCCTGCCTACCTGCCGGGTAGACTTCACGATCTTCACGAGGCCAAGACGGTCGGCGAATACGACGAGGACGAGGATAGCGAGGAGGGTGTCTCCCCCATAGAGGAAGCCGACGGTATGTCTCCGATGGAGAACAAGGAATCCCCACCACCTCAGTACGAGCTCAAACTGAGGGACAAGCAGGAGTTGCTCAACAATAACACGGCTGAGCCCGTTATAGAGATTTCCACATAGCCCAGTCGTACCCGTCGACGTTCTAATGGGGAATCCTCAACGGTTTCCAAGACCGACCGGTAATTAGTCTATTTCGCGCGATCGTCTGCCGATCAGTTATTATTATTATTTACTTTCTCTCGGAGCCTCGATCACTGCGTAGGTTCGATTTCTATTGGCCGCCTTTGTATCTTGTCGCTCCTAACCAAGGACCATTCTACCCATTCACTTTACTTTACCGTATGTCTTGCTGTCCCGCATTGGATACACGTAGGAACGATCGATCGGGTGGAAATTAATAAATCGAGGTATCGATTCTACGGGACGACGAGATCTTACGAAAACGTATCGCCAGACTCTTATTATTAATACTAGCTAGTTCCTAACGGACTCTGTCACGATGGAGACTGGATGACGTTAATTGTAGTAAAAATAATTAAAATCGCGTAAACGATGTCGAAGACGCAAAAGCAGACGTTGACGTAACGGAGACTCTCATTGGTAAACAGAAATCAAATGTTCCCCCTTCCTCAGTATTGTTCCAAAAAACACCACCACCCCCCCTCCGTCTCCCCATTCGGAGAGTTTCTCGTAGTATTATTTATTATTAATTATTAATTTGGTATTAATTATAGACACTCGTCATCGAACGGACTTGAGACAAAGAGCAGTGATAAGAACGAATGACGAATCGAGCCCTATTTGAATTTTTAAAGTTGACCTTTTTTTTTTTGGTTTTTCATTTTTTTCATTAATTTATCAGAGCTCGCGATGCAATCGTCAAGCTGACATTTTTTAACGAGACGAAACTTTTTTTCGTTTAAATTTCGCGCCAGGCTAAAGCGACCACGCGATTTATGAATATTCTCCGTGGAGGGTCGATTTCTTATTTTTGAAAATTCCCGCCCGAGGATAATTCGTTCGACGTACGAAATGAAAAAAAAAAAAAATGTAATTACAGAGAGATTCTACGATATTATGTACAAATTTCCAATTAGGTAATCACGTTTGTAAAGAAAGAGATGAACGTAACGAGGTGAAAACCAAAATCCAAGGAAAAACGTGGGCATGAGAAACTAGAATTTGGAACGATCGTCCCCGAATTTCCCCTCCTCGCCCACCCACCGCCCCTTCCACCCACCTCCCGTAACTTTTTAATATGTCGCAATCGCAATGGCGATTGCCGTAGACGACCGGAGATATCTTCTCGAGTCCCTGAACGGAATTTATAATCAATAGTTCTACGACTTCACGGTATCTCGTTAGCGATTGTAAAAAAACCGGAAAGGAACGAAAAAAAAAAATATGTGCGTCCCATCTTTTCCGATAGTTTCCGTATATATATTTTTTTCGTTAAAAAAATTTTTTTAATAGCTATACGCGGCGATTGGTCACCCACGTGCGGAATCGCCCTTTGCGTATTTTGCATTTTCTATTAATAGGACTATTGGTCTGTTTATATTGTTGCGCGACGCGAACCACAAGGATGGGACTACACTTCTTTTTCCACATAAGGTTTTACGAATTCATGTTCTACATATCTCTCTATAGACGATAATAAACTTATGAATTGATTAAGCATAATTACATTGGTCGAGTACTTAAGAACAATTATATTATGACTCTGTCTATCTATACATACTGTATAAAATGCATCTGTACTTCATTATTATTACTATTAAAATATTACACTTCAAAACTGATACACACGTGTTTCACTTTCGCCTTGTTAACGGATCAGTTCGGGCTGCCATGGGCGAGTCCTTGTGCCATGCTTTTTTTGAACGCTCATAAAGTTTGATTCGTTGCCTAGAGGTTCAGTTAAGGCAGATTGAGAAAAGGATTGGATAACGAGGTATCGTATTAAAGAATATTTAATAGACAAAGTAGAGCTTTTGGTATTTAAAGACAGAATTTTATAACGTCCAGTTAACCAAGCAGTCAGCTAACGGAATCTGAAGGAGACTCGCTGAATTATATGTGACGTCATTTTTCGATTCACTTCAAGCGGCCGTGGAGGATTTCTAAGAGTTACGTACCGATTTGCTAAGGAACGCTCATGATTTGGTTTAAAGGGACGAATCGAGGGAGATGGAAGAGTTATCGTCTATAAGGGTCTCGACCAATCAGATGATCAGAATTATTAGTTCTCGGATTTGCCTATTTTGTCAAAGCAGTCTGTCTCGGGACACCGGCCGAAGTGTCACGGGTTGCCTCGCGCTCCCGTGCTGTTTGTTTATAGTTTTTCTAGCCGTGTTTTCATACGGTATAGCAAGTTCTCGTTTGTGCAGTTCTCGCGATATCCAAGAAATTCTATGAAATTTCTTTGTGTTCCGGAGGTGTAGTGTCGTGCCCTAGTGTACTGCTCACCCGAGTGTCTCCTGGATGCAGTTCTCGGCTTTCACGGATTGGCTGTACCAGCTCCGGTGAGTGCTTCAGGTTTATTAATTGGTGAAGGGATTTCAATTTGATAGTTCAGATACGTTCTGTTATGTTCTCGATCGGCTACTCTGTATATCGGACTGTTTGCCTGACGCTTACTCCGCCCCTCTCTAGCTTAACCCAACAGCCTGAGCGGCCGCGCATTTCCATAACCGTCCGCTCCCGTTCGTGTATCCAGTTGCGTTTGCTGATTTCACGCGACCCCAAAGATCAGCTCCTACGGTTGCGATTCTCGATTTTACGCGTCCCCATAAATCTACAGGATCCGTTAAGTTATCGCATTATCTGATAGGTTCCGTCAGAGCTCTCGTTTTGGTGGAGTTGGACCTGTTCCAGTCCAACTCCCAAGTCATACCGGCTCGTAAATTCCCGGTGAAAAAAGAATTGGCTGGCGCCCGCCTGGCCTGCGGATGCATGAGCAAAGGGTGGACGGCCGAAGGTAACGTAGGTTATTTATCGGATTTTCCTTTATCGGTGTTGAGATAAGGAAAATACAATACTAACATACAATCACTCCGTCGGTAACTTATCGTCCGAGTCGGGCGAAATTATTTTTGAAAATTCTTTCTGTAAATTACCCTACAATCTCATTAGTATTTATTTGAAAATATTTTCTGTAAATTCCTTCATTTATGCAAGATTGCTTAGCCCTCCTACTTATTTCCTTGCTCTCGTTAACGTCGGTCGGTAAACATTGTCGATAATACAGAAATTACGCCACCAGATGGCGACTGATCGCAACGAAAATTTCTCAACCGCATTTGACTTACCAATCAGTGGCGTTACTTACCGCGTTACGAAACAACACGACTGTTAACCACAAACAATTGAACTCGATGTTCTCGTCGTTTTGGACGGACGGTCGGGCACACGCTCAGCTTTCTAAATGCCCGTAATGGATTCTTCGAAACAGAATCATTGTTACGGATGATATAAGATGACAAAACGAGAGGTGAGTTTGCTGCAGTATCAGTGACGCTATGTGAAATTGAAAAGAGGGCTTAGCTAAAAATCGATTCGCGACGCCATTGAGAAATTAATTAACGCTTGACGATTGTTGCGATCAGGATTCATTCTCGAGACTCATTTTTGTTTCAGTGACTATAAATTTCTCATTGCAATACTATGTATAAATGACAATACAATATCTGACTCGATCTACTCGAATGAGCTTGATTTAATGATCGTGGGCGGTGATATTCGAAAATGAATAAATTAATTCGCTCGCCTATATGGAAATTCGAGTTTTATCGTTCGACACGGGAATACCAATGAATCCCCCTGTTATATCCTGTCCATCAATGATTTTGTGATACCAGGACGGAATCAAAGTTCCTGATGACGTCAAATGACTCACTTAAACCCGAAGAAATTTCACGAAACCAATCGAATCGTCAACGTTGAAATAAATTTTTACTATTTCACAAATAACAAACCACGACACTAATTTCACAAGTATCATCGAAAAGTGCTAATTCAATGTTACGACTAAAAGGATCTCGTCTCTCAAAATTAACCTAATCGAATTTCCGATTAAACGGCCATAATAAATTCCATCGAATGATCGCTACAAAACTTTCATGACAAATCCTGCATTAAAAAACCCTGAAAATCCTTAACTCTGTAATAAACTCAACGTTCGAACTTCAGCATATAAGAAACTTCCGGTTGAAAAACAACCCAGAGGCGCCTATCTCAGCGGAAATGTACAACCAGTAATTTACACGCATTTCTCTAGATAAAGATAATAAATTCGTTAAGTAAACCCGTCACCCGTCAAATACTTTACGACAAGAACCACCCTTAGATCAAAACTTCAATAAGTTACCCCCAATTGACTCCTAAATCGCCCCCGACCTCACCCAAGCTCCATTCCCAGAATTCCCAAAATTTATTTCCAAAAACTAATTCTTAACTGAATAACCAAAAACATCCCCTCGAATTATCATCCCTTAATTCAATCCCTGTCAAAGATGCCTTTCCCCAGTGACGGTTCATCAGGAAACCCTGCGTTGTTAAAATTATTATTTTTTTCTTCCATTATTGCCGCTTCGAACAAAATGGCTACAGGACAGAGCGTCGCGACGGCCGTCGACAGTCGCCCGTGGCTCACAGAAGACATTGTGGAGGTATGTACGCAACGAGAGTCTCTCTAGTCTCTCGTACCAGAACGGCGGCGTTCGTTCGTCTGGCTCGGTTCGTGTATACACGGTGTGGCAATATTCTACGCCCCAACGAACATTATTGCCAACGGCGAGCGGCGACAAAAAACAAAAGGAGGAAAGAAAAAGACGAAAAAGGATAGAGAGAAGGGAGTGATAAAAAAAAAAGAGCGGCGTGAAAAAAAAAAAGAAACGGGCACACGATCGCGGTCCGGCTAATCATGAAATTCCAGCGTGTGCAGGAAATCGCGCGTCTACGTTTAGAAAGTGGAAAAAATCAATCAGCGACACGGACCCCCAGTCAATTGGGATAGGTACAATTGGGAGAGGTAGGCGTCGCGACGGCTGTACAACTTTTTTCCGGATAAGAGGTAAAACTTACGAAGGGAG